GTATTTATAGAATTCAGCTCTGTTTGGAGCTCAGTAGCCCGGTCGGATAGACCTGTATCCCTGCATTCGGCCTTTAGTAGGTCAGGGATAGAGGTCAAATGGTGTAAGCTTTCGTACATATTTAAAAGCTCCTCAATTATAATATATTCATACGTCGGCTTTTTGTTTATCGTGTGTGATATTAACATATTCCTGAGATACTCTAAAGTTAAAAATATGATATGAATGGATACATTAAAATTCTCTAAAGTGCTAACTAGCTGAATTTTTCTAATTACATACGTTTACATATGTGAGTGACAGGTTTTAGCTGAAGTGTTTACATACTAGAAAATTCCGTGCCCACGCTTTGTAATCATCTTTTCCAATGAGGGGGAATGTTTGGTTTTTGTTTGGTTTCATGATCAAAGACATTCATGATTTCTGTTTATCGTGTTGATTGTCTTCATGTATGTATAAAATTACAAGAATCCAAAACCAGCCGCTGTTGCAAAATAGCAAACGGAAGCTCTTCTATTCGAGGTTCCCCCCCCCCCTTGTCTCAGAGAGACGTAGGGAACACTCCAAATCATGACGGAAGTCTGGCGCTAGGGTGGTTAACCAACTCCCTAAGGTACAAACCTACTCGCCAGGGTTTGCAGAGCCAGAAAAAAATCCCACCAAAAACAGTATAAATAAAAACTTAAGGCACACAAGATAGCAGGTCCGATGGACCGTGGAAGCTATAGAGAGATGAACTTAAGCATAATATAAGGAGGAAAGGTCAGAGAGCTTCCGGAAGGTCTCTCCATGACCAAATCACCTACGACAGAATGTTCTAGAGCTCTTAGCTGACGTTCTTGACCAGATACAGCATTCCTCGGATATGGTTTCAATGATCCGTCATGAGGACGTGCCTAGGAAGATACACTCACCATCATCTGATGTCTTACTCGTCAAGAGAGAGTTTCAACCCCACTCTCATATCGGTTTATGGCCTCTCCGGTCATCGCTAAACATCAAATGAGTATCATAACCTTTGGATATGGTACTATATCGCCTCTAACCTTCCTAAAACCTACCCGGTATGACGTATCTAATTTGGAGACATTAACAAAAAAAGACACTTTACAAAAAGTGCTTACATAAAAAAGCACTTTAGTCAACATGAGTATTTCTAATACATAAAATGACTGTTATATCCTTATTATTCTCTTTATCACCATTTTATCTTTTTTCATTAATAATAGAGATACATATGTAAAATGAATATTTGACTGAAGCGGCAAACTCTAAAGGATGATCGGATGTTGGTTTGCCGGAGCCGTCGTTGAGAACACAAATCTGGAAAATCAGTTGATTTCATGTTTTTTCTTTCCTTTACTAGTATTCGGAGCGTGTCGCTGCCGCGGATCTGCATAACATCACATGACATGAGCCTGGTACTAGATCTAAAGATGAAAACGCCAGATCCCAAAAAATCAGGTAAGAAGAAGTTTGTTTGTAGTCTGAAATTGGAAGTTTTATTTAGATACTTGAATTATTAAGTACTTAAAAGGGTTATTATAGCGAGTTGAAGGAATCTGATGGTTCTGTTTATTGCCTATTTGATTCGGCCGCCATAGTTGAAGTAGTCCAGATGCCAGACGAAAAACTGCCACCGTGGTTGTTTGAAAAACAGATCGATCTAAGGCGTGAGTACTTTAGTACGCATCCACAATTGGTTATCTACCGACAAACGTCCACAATTGGTAACCGCGTGGACAATGTTATCTTTATGTTTGCAGAGTTGTAATAATTTACAGACGTGCATACTTTAGTACGCATCCACAGTTGGTTATCCATGAACAGACATCTGTAACAAATTTATAATACCGTCCACGAACAGACAATGTCATCTTTGTTTATATGGACGTGGATACCATATATGATCATCCACAAATTGTCATCTATTGATCTATTTTGAGTGGCGAAATCGACTGCATCCACGAGAGTCCGTCCATAAAAATTATTCAGTATATATGCATTTGGATGTCATATGCGGTCATCCACAAACTAGCATCCATAGATATATTGTAGTGAATGAAAAAATATCATCCATAAATTAAAATATGTCGGTTATTCCATGTTTACTATAAAAATCTAAACAATATCATCTTTGAATGTTCACTGTTTACTATAGACGTTGACACCATGTGGATGTCATATACGGCCATCCGCAAGCTATTTGATTCAGCCGCCGTAGTTGAAACAATTCCGGTGCCAGACAAAAACTCCTACCACAGTTTTTTGAGATGCATCCATAGTTGGTTATCCACCGGCAAGCGTCCACAGTTGATAACTGCATGGACAATGTTGTTGGGTGACTACTTTAGTACGCATCCACAATAGGTTATCCACCAACAACCGTCCACGTCGGTTAACTTCTGAGGATAACCAAATTTGTCTAGTCATTCACATAAACGTCAACCATATTGGTACGTCCATGAACAATCAAAGTTCATGACCATGAAAGCGTAACCAATCTCCCAAAAATTGCCAAAAATGGTTGTCGATTCGATTAGCTTCTATAGATGTCAAAATTTATCTAGTTGTCTATAAGGTGTCAGCCATATCGGCGCATCCATCATTGAAAGTTGTGTTTGTATGCGTATCCACGTTATAACGTCCACAACCATCCTGTTGTAGGTTGATTTGCAAACTCCAGATACTGTAAATGTATCGTGTGATTCAGTGAAATTGATTTATCAAATATTATACTGTGGAATAGGTAATAATTGTGCAGAAGAACTTATACCCTAAACAGTTGAACCTATACACCATAGATAGCGGAGATAATCATAGATGGCGGAGATCTCAATGGATCTGGTAGAGACAATATAAAAAAATTTACTTGGGTGAGGGAACTAAAAAATAATAATAAATTTTACAAAAAAAATTATGAAGGGTAAAAGAGAGAAATGACATATGGAAAAAACAAAGAAAAAAAGAAGGGAAAATACTCAAGTTGGTGAAAGTATTCTTTTTGTAATTAAAATTTAAGAAAGTGCTTTTTTTTTATAATATTTTCATCTAATTTGAGTGTCAGAAAAACCATCTAGGGAGAAAATTATTTTCAGTCTTCCCAAAGGCCGAATCATCGTTTTCTAAATAATCTCAACTCCCGAATAACGGACACAACCGGCTATTTATAGATCCTACTCATCTTCCGGTGAACAAATCCATGAATTGAAATTTACTTAAACGATAAACACACATCCCATTAACATTTCACAAAATGCTCCTGAACCAAAGTAATTATATGGACAAATGCATAGTATAATTACAAACCGGAAAAAGGCGAAAGCTTTGGCAACAAGTTATTCCAAGTAGGTGAAGATCTTGTTTATATAAGTTTTTTTTTAAAACCCATTTGAAGATATTTATGAAAATTACATGGATATTAATGTTTTTCACTTTCTCATTTCATGCTCAAACAACATAAGAATTAAAAACGAATTAGTTAACGCACATTTGGTTGTATATACCCTTTTGATATTACATATGCAAATTTGACATTTTAATTTCAAATTTTAATATGTTTTGGAAATTTATGTTGTTGATCAAACCAAATTTATTATCAAAAATAATCTAAACGCCAAAATTAAATTTTCTGACTAAAAACACAAATATACTTCATCTGTTTCTAAACAATTGATATTTTGAGTTTGTACATATATTTAAAAATAATTAAAAAATAATTTAAACCTTCTTTCTATTAGTTAGTACTTAATTTTTTCTTTAGGAAAAAAATATTGTAATGATAAAATAAATAAAAATGAACAATAGCTATATCTACAAAATTAAAAACATTTAATTTTTTCAAACAATTTTTTTCTTAAAACATCAATTATTTAGAATTAAAAGGAATATATCATTGTAAGCATTACTAATGACAATTAGTGTATTGACTACGTAGATTATTCTCCCTTTTCTAGTTGATGCATTATTTCATTTCCTCTTATAATACAGTTAAATATTACGAATACAGAAAACATGTTTCCAAAGTTGAGATAATTTTTGAAATAACCAGAAAAAAAAATTATATGGATAATGCAGTATCTGGCTTTCTGAAAAAAGAATGTATACTTTTCTTTATATTTCAAAACGTAATACTGATGTACAACTAATTCATTACCAAAAATTAAAATACGTCAAATTAACTTATTGAAAACAAAACAAAAAACAAGCCAAAATGACTTACTAAATCAATCAAATTTTGGAATTGACTCACCAAAATAATAACCTGCCAAATTTTGAATTAAAATTTGACCTAACAAAATAAAAGACCCACCAAAATTTGAGATAGACAAAAAAATATGCATGTTATTCATCACGTTTTCACGTTTTTTTATGTTTTTGAAACGTGATTCCGCTAGCGTGTTAAAAATATAACTAAAAAAAGCAAAATGTGATTAATCTACTAAAAGTAGCTAGCGTTTCACAATTATTCAGCTAAAATATTATTCAGTTCAGTTCATTCCGCTAGTAATTTTTCAGTTATTCCGCTATTCTGTTATTCATCTGACATACCAGTCAGATCTAAAATATGCATATTATTTTAGAACGTAATACTGATATACAACTAATTCATTACCCAAAATTAAAATAAGTCAAATTAACTTATTCAAAACAATTAAAAAAAGCAAGCCAAAATGACTTACTAAATCAATTAAATTTTGAAATTGACTTCCCAAAATAAACAACCTGCCAAATTTGAATCAAAATTTGACTAACAAAATAAAAGACTCACCAAAATTTGAAATAGACTAAAATATAAAATATGCATATTATTTTATAATATATTTTGGCGTGTTCTTTATTCTTTACATATCTATAAATTAAAGCACAAGTTACATTGACTAAGTTCTTGTTATTTCTCTATTACAAATCTATAAATTAACGCACAAGTACAATATTAATTCTCACACACCTAACATAAAATAAAAACTGAAAATAAAGATCAAAATCAAAGAGTGAACATGGCAAGAACAAAACTTGTGGTGGTGACAGATGAAAATTCAAGAGCAAACATGTTGAAGAAGAAGTGGGTAGGACTGGTGAGAATGATAAGTCAACTAACGATATTATGTGATGTAAAGGCTTGTCTGATTATGGTTAGCCATAAGAAGGCTGAGCAAATGGTGTGGCCATCTTTTGAGGTGGCTCAAGGCCTCTCATACAAATTATTTGCCTTGCCAGAGTTCGAGAAGAAGAAGAAAGAGACGACTCTTGAATCATACCTGAAGGAGAAGACAAAGAAGGTTTGCAACCAATTGAAGAGGATTCAGAAGAAGAACAAAGAGTACAAGATAGGTCAATTGATGATGCAAGTAGATGGTGATCATACACCTGCTGATCGTAACCTGAATGAGATATATGAATTGATATCTTTCTCAAAGGATAAGATCATGCATTTAAGGAAGATGCTAGGTTTCATGCATCATTCTCCTCTTGCTGAGGCACCGGTCAATCCATTTGAGGTGCAATCTGAGGACAATAGAAAAACCACAAATGATATGTTCATGATAGGAGACGGTCAAGATGATGAGATAACTACGATTGCTGATGAAAGAGCACAAAAGATCAATAACATTGGTACTTTAAGGGAGAATCATGGTCATTACTTGATGGATCAATGGATTTTCCCATCTTCCATTCTGTCTAACCATCAAATCCACGAACAAGTCGTAATGGGAATGACATCTTACAACCAAAATTCAAATCCTAGATATTTTCTTCCATACCAAGGAAGCAGTAGCAAAGGAAACTCTAATCTAGAGATGCAGCAAGTTGGTCCACCAATGAAGACTTTCCATGGTATGGTTGGCTCAGTCTCTCAACCATTACAGCATCATCATACCATGAGCGATAATCCACTCCTGGCTATGAATCAACCAAGGAAATACTTTTTTGATTTCATGAGCTGCGAGAAACGAAGCAACATTAGCATTGGTGACTTGCAGATTCAGATGAGCAACAACACTATGACAACTGACGATGGTCTCCGTCAAGAGCCACCAATGGATGAAACAACCATCGAGGAAGGTAAAGCTGATGCAACGACTTTTGATATCAATTAGGATTGGCTGGGATTAAGTAACAATAATCATTTCTAGACTCGGAGTATTGATATTGTGTTTTAAGTTTGGTATGGATTTCTTTTGAACTTGTCTTTTCTATTTTTGTTTTTTGTTGGTGTGTATGTCTGCTTTGGATTAGTCTTAAAAACATTTGTTTTTGTCATTTGAGTTCAAAATCGTCAGAAATTAGCGTGTTTTTTAGTAGTGGCATCCTCATGCCTAATCTTTATATTATAAGTAACGCGGTAAATAATAAAATTCAACATATTCATGGTGTTGTTGGAGTTGTAGATATCGCGTATGAACACTGAATATGAGTGTGAGGGAGATTTAACGAATAACGAATTAGAAAACATGGATATAATGCCTTTATCATAGAGCTGGTATAAGAAATTGGATAGAAACATTTTAAAAACTACTCTATAAAACAAAACAAAACAAAATTAGCTTTCATATTGTTACTATGTTGAGTTTCCAATTTGTATTTATTTGAGATGCATTAACGAAACTCTGTATGTTTCATTCTTTTTCTTTAAAGCTAGCTTGATTTTCGAAATTTCTCACCGCTCTCCACTTACATTTCCTTATTAAAAAAAATCATTAGGACTGAAAATAGACAAGTAATCAAGATCTTTTGTGGCTTTTTGAACATACAAAAAAATTGGAGTAAATTCAGGCATATAGAAAGTTTTAGAGTCTTTGTTAAACAGTTTCAGGTTCCCAATTTCTTTAACATGCACATTATGACCATTAGTAACAATAACATTACCAGTTGCAAGTTTAATATGATCAATAAGATTTGCATCACTAATCATATGATGAGATGCACCAGAATTAATAATGAGAGGTTTATGATTTTTAAGAATACGTAAAGCTTTCAAGGATGCAATACTATTGATGAGAGACTCAAGATCAGATTTTCTGACCAGATTATCTTCTGCTGCAGAAGCAGACATAGCCTTAAGATCTCTCACCCTTGATCGTTTCATATGTAGATGAAGAACCCAACATTTGTCTTTTGTATGACCTTTCGTTTTGCACTGATCACACGCAAATTTTTTTATGGTCATTCTTTGGTAATTACCTTGGTTTGCAAGAGTAATGTCACGTTTCTGGCCAAACAGACATTTAGAACCTTCTTTCTTCTGAATCTGCTGACAAACATCATGATTATCTTTATGTATGTATCAAATCATAAGAATCCAAAACGAGCCGTTGTGCAAACGGAAGGTCGAGGTTCCCCCCCCCCCTGTCTTTGGATGAGAAGGAAAAGACTGAAAAATTTCAGATCAAAGGCGCTGATTGGTGAAGGATCTTATTGAAGAAATATTATGCGACATTACATGGTGGTGTAGTGGTTGCTCTGCTGAAACTTGATGTCGTACTTGAAGCTGAATCAGATGCCAAATTCTTGAGTCATGTTATTTATCTTCTTCAATCTTTTCTTTCCATCCTTTTCTGCTGCTCTGTAATGAGATGAATCAGTATCTATGTATTTTTGTTTTCCAGGAAGCTTAGGTTTACATCTTTTTTTTTTTTTTAACTTTGTTTACATCTTCTTCTAACTTGCAATATTAATAGTTTGCTCTTCCTTAGGTTTCCATTGTTTCAAGACTGAAGCATGAGAATCTCATTCAATTGCTTGTTTTTTGTGTTGATGGAAACCTCCGGGTCACGATAACAGCCATCAACTCAGGTTCTGATTTCTCAGATCTCCATAGGATTCTAGCTAATATAGCTTCTTTCTCTAGAGAACTTTATGTGTTATTGCAAAACATTACTTTATGTGTTATGGAAAGCTCATGTTTGACCAAAAACAGAAAACTGCGTGATTATTTACTTTCTGTTAAGCCAAAAAAAATACACGACAAGAGACTGACTGGTTATTTGGAGGAAAGGATGGCCAGCATCAAGTTTCTGAAGAAACAAATAAAACATCTGAGATGATCTCCAATGGTCAAAAAGATGAATGAATGAATGAGTTTTCCCATTGCAGATGAGAAGCAAAAGAAGCTGGTGGTGGACACTGAATAGCGAAAGGGAGACAAAGCGGGGAGAGCAGGATGAAGAAGATGATATTATCGAAATCACAGCCACAAATTCATACCATACCTTTTCTATTGTTTTCGTGAGAATATTCTCTACGTGTACTTGAGGATAAAATTCTTTTGCATTTTTACTATCAAACTAAGTGAATTAGTCTGTATGCATGTGCTGATATGATTTTTTAATAGATATAATTAGAATTCGTAAATCAAAGTACGAGAATTTTACGTAAAAGAAAATTTTTTTGTAGAGATTTAATTTTATTTTTGCTTCCACTTCTTTTTCATATTTGTTTTATTATAATTGATTTATTTATCTGGTTATTTTTTTATTTTATTTCTGATCTTAAATTATCGATCTATAATGAGACTGTATATGAGTATGATATAAACTTTTTATTTAAAAAAATGATAAGAAATAAAATAAGATGGTAATGAAAACTATGTAAATTTTAGAAAAGAAAATATAAAAATGTTAAAAAAATTATATACAAATAATAATATATGAGACTCATAACATTATTGAGATATAGAATACTTACTATCCTAATCGATAATCTGTTATTATTTTGCGTAATCATATTTTATACAATATGTTATAAATATATAGATATATATATATATTTGAAATCATAATAAATCTTATTTTCTAGTATATTTATTTTTTAATTACATAATTTATTAAATTGTATTTCAACCAATCAAAATATTTTGTTTGTTTTAGAAAATTTTACATGTCACATTTCCAAGTCACCATTAAATAACACTAACTTATTTTCTCCTTGAGACACATCAGCATTTTTTATAAAACGTACTTATCAAATTATATTAAGGATGTCTTACAAGAAAACAAAATAGTAAAATATGAAATATATATATATATAGAAAGATAATACATATGTAGAACACATATTGGCCTAGTATTTGATTAAAAATTGAAAATATAATATAATTTGAAACATTATTTTTTTTCTTAAAATACTACTTATTTCAAAATAAAGGGATTAAATATCATAGAGTTTTTACTACATTTATTTTATAAGAAAAAACAAAAGAATCAACAACTTAACAAGTTTTTGCTACTCGTTTAAACAGTTGAGCGTGACACGGTTGGTTACCATTTCAAAGACCAAGAAATAAGATTAGGACTAAAGTAAAGACAACAACTTGGTATAGATCAACATGAGCTAATGATGCAACGCATGTATGGATTTGGGTCTTTAGCGACAACCCCGTTATTAGGTTTTACTTGTTTGTCAAGCTAAGTATTTATTTAGATTTAATTGTTAGATTTTTTTTATTTAAAGATAATTATAATTCCTTATAGATTAGGATGAATAGATGTGCTTACGATCTCTTTTCTTTAGTATAAATAGGATGTTATATCGATTTGTAAAGATAACCTTTAATATTGAATAAAAACGATTAAGAGCTTTCTAGCACTAAGAGGAGTACTCTTACCCTATTGTTTCAGTAGAGATTCTCTCTTCTTAAACAAGATCCAAGTTAAGCTTCGTGTTCTCTTAGAGATAGCGATTTCTCTCTTGTTATAGTTTCCGCCCCCATCAGTTAGTATCAGACACAAACGATTCTGTCAATTGATTCCACAAAATCATGTCATCAAAATATATCTACGACCGTCAAGCCATGGAAAGTCGTGTAGACGAATGGGCAAAACTTTGTCAAATTTTTTTTGCTTTGGTGGAGAATTTCCAGGCTTCAACTAACACATCAATTCAGCAAGTTGTAGGGAATACGATCCAAGACGAGTTTCCACAATATGGTGAATCAGAGGATGGGTTTGATCATGACAAACACATCTTCGACGAACCCGTCTATGATTTTTATGGTGAGGAATTAGCTACTACAGAACATGATTATCATGACAACCCAACCTACCATGTCTATGATGATTCAGATCAAGTATTTGATGTGTACGATGATGCAGATCCAATTAAAGACATCAATAACGAATTTAATGTTCAAGAGGAGGAATACCTAAATCTTGCACCAGTAGAACATGTCCAAATGCTCAACAAATTCAACGCAGAGGATGAAGATACGTACATTGGTGAAGGGAAGCACATCATGCATTGTGTTTCATGGAAAAGGAATTGGATAGGAATTACATCATATTACGACGTGATGGAGCATATGGGTAAGATAAACAAAGGTAAATTCCTTTATCTTGCAACTCATCCTCCATATACCTATGATGAGCCACCAAATCGTGTTCCAAGAAGTGAAGAAGATCGCTACAAGGAGATGTGTGAGGAGCAGGGTTTTGACATCTATGACGGTGATCCGATTGGTGCTGTTTACAATAACATGTTTTCTGCTAAGAGCTATGAAAATTCTGCAAATATACGATGTGAGTATGATATCAGTAAGGTTCTTAGAAGGAAGTTAATGCTCGTTTCAAGGCTTGGGAAACATGTCCACTTTTTGGATTTTGGTTTTGGTTACACGAGTGTTGTCACGGCGAATGCAGAAACATTAATCCATCCACGACATCTGTTGATCTATTTTACAAGGATGTTGTTGTCAAGCAACATTGCATCTGACGTTTTACTTGCGCCGATCTCTATGCGTACACTCCGATATTGCAAATTTTCATCATGGGAGGATCCTAATGCAGATTTGAGGAGAAATTCAGTTGGTATTTTTGCTATACGTCAAGAGATGGAAGTCATGGGACGTAATTGGGTTTTGGTTTGGTCTCGTTCTGTTTTTCAGATTGCTTTCGAAGGCTCTGTATTTCAGCCACCATATGTCACTTATTTGACGCTTCTCATATGAATAGTGGCAAACGACATTGGCGCTGGTTGTTACGTACAACACGAGTTGATCACCGAGTGCTTTTTGGAGGGGTTTCATTTACGAGTGAGACCAAGCAGTTGTATTGGTTGGATTGTTTTGAAGACAATTGTGGATTTCTCCAATGCCTTAATCAGG